AGGGTTGATTTGACTGAGAAGGTTCTGAGACTGCTGATTGGCAGAATATATGACCCCTTCACAAAGGGAGTGGAAGTAACTCCTTTAGAATGTATTGACCACATGGTCGATGAGTGTGATAAATTGTTAGGTGTCAACTTCTTCATCCCTGGTTGCTTGAACCAGCAGGGCTCATACAGTCATGCTCACCTGAATCTTCTTTTGGAAGATTCTGAGAAGGATTGCTTGCCTGGAAGGCTAGGAGACTGCTCATTGATAGAACAGATAATCCTTTCAAAGGGTAAGTGGTAACCACTCCTTTTAGATTTCATTGACAATGTGTTTACTGAATGTAACTTCCTGTTAGGTGTCATCTCTATCCCTGGCTGCTTAAACCAGCAGGATACATACAGTCATCCTGGTCTGCATCTTCCTGTTCATAGAGTCTGAAGAGGCTGTCTTGCCTGGCACGGCTATGAATTGTCAGAACATATAGTCCTTTCATAGAGTGGAAACAACTCCTTTTGAGTGTACTGGCCACTTGTTTAATGAATGTCACAACATGTTAGGTGTCATCATCCTCATTTCTGATTGCTTCAACAAAGCAAGATTCATATCATCATATTCGCCAGTCTCTTCCCCTTTAGAGAGTCTGAAGAGGCTGTTTTGCCTGGGAAGGCCATTAGACTGCTCGCTGCTAGAACATATAACCCCTTTACAGGGTGAATGGAACACTTACATTCATATTCATCACACAGTCATGTTTATCTGCTTCTTTTTTTAAAAGTCTGAAAAAACTGAAGACCACAAACAAAATATAAAAGGATGTTCTATATATCGGCAGGTATTGCTGGCTACAGTAGTCATCCACAGGTGACTGCTCTACCTTTTCTGGAAATGCTGGTCTTTTGAGGGGGTTGGCATAATGGCACAATAGTAAAGCAAGCACCAGAAGCCATCAACAGGTTAATGTGTGAACAAAGTATTACTTTGTGCACTTGTTATGCAGAGTACTATCTGTGGAAGAGCTCAGGGTATGCACAGCAGCTGCAAGGAGCCAGGCACAACAATAGCCAGCAATATACCATTCATTTGGATACAAAGCATTTTTACATTTTGCTCACCCAACCTCCGTCATCCAACTGTAAACACTGGCACTGTGCGGGGTGAGCGTGCCTAGGGAGACTCTGCTTACACTTCTGCCCATTTCACATGGACCCAGCAGAACCCACACAAGGCTGTTAGCCATGATAAAATCCACCCTGAGCATCAGCATCATGGCTCCCTGGATTATGGGTCATTTAGCCGGTACACCAGAGACTGTGCCCAGCTGAAACCCACATGTATGGATGGACAGCCAACCCTTTAGACCAGCCAGGTAGAGGAGCACACCTAGGTCCTGCACCTGGGAGGAAAAAAGAGGAATGCTGAGGGTATAGGTCAGCTCAAATTTATGAGTTGTCCTGGAAGCATGGGTTGGAGGGGCCCTTACCCCAGCTGTGCTGACATGGAGCTGTCAGGAAAGTGATGAATGATCTCTCTCCACAAAAACTTCTGAGTGGACTGTTGGAAAGTTAAACTTCTTATTTTTATGTATGTCAGAGATTCCAATGTTGAAATCTTATATACTGCCTGCTTTGCTTATGATTGGTTTCCACTCTTGCTGGTGTTAATGTTTACATGAAGGCATTAGGATGCATCAAAACACATGTTACTTAGCATCCCATTGTTTTCAACAGGTCTGGTTCACACATTCTCATTGGTGGGCCCATTGAAGTCAATGGGAGCACATTAAAACGTATGATACATGCAGTTTCATGAGCTGCAAATACATGGTTACTGAGACCCACCCTTGGCAACAGGCCATGTGCTCTTGGTCCAGCTACATTTGGAATACCGCAAGCTCTTCTCACACCTTCCTAGATGCTGAGCACATAATTTTGAGAAAATGTACAATGAAAACATGCATAAACATGAAAATGCAAGTGGAAAAAATGCATAGAAAACACATGAAAACAGAAGTGCATAGATGTGAAGCCAGCCTTAAAAATACAGAAGCCTAAGTGGTAGGTGCATTTAGCGCTTGAGCGTTAATTCATTTCATTGGGCAGAATAAATTATTCCGGCCAACAAAATTAACGCCCAAGCGCTTGATGCACCTAAACGCGTTACACACTTTTACAAGCGTCGGGTGTTTTTTCTACCAAAATGCTGCTGCCAGAAGGAAAGGCTTCTAGGAGAGTTGGTAGAATGTCCAGTGTGGATGAGGCCTTAAATTAGGTTGAATAGATGGTGAAGAGGCCCCCATGACCACAGCTCACAAAAGATTTGAGGTCCAGTGAATGAATCGGCTCACCAGTTTCCACCTAGAACTAAAACAAATCCTTAAGGATCATGCACATGGCAGCTCAAAAACAGGCGTTTTGACTTTCTTTTCCTTCTGCCTCTAAACACCTCTCCATGCTAGCCTATGTGTCCATGCACATATACTGTAAGCATATACAGGTGTTAACCCCTGGTTCACATATATGCCGTGTTTTGCGTGGGCACGAGTGCCCGTTCATTTGAATGGACTCCCATGCCCCGTGACACACAGGGAAGAAGTCACTGCACTTCTTCTGAAAACACAGCCCGCACGGGAACCTCGGTTCCCAGTACAGTTGCATTTTCCAGTGCGGGCGGATTGACATTAGAACTACTGGCACCCGCCCACGGGTCCGCATTCCTCTGTGCGGGTGGTGCAAATTTTCGTGCTGATCTGCAGCTGCACCACTCGCACATACTGTATTTGAACCTAGCCTAAGAGGAAAAAATATTAAAAATCGCATGCATTCAGAGATGTTTGGGTAAACCAAAATTTGCAAACATGCATAAATGCGTGTGTTCATGCACATTCACACATTAATGTATTCTAATGGCCAAAATAAATTAATATTCTGGCCAATAGAATGCATTAACCCAAACACGCAAACGTGCATGGGATTTGTAGTGCATTTAGAGCAGTACACATGATTGCAACTAACCTGCACTACTAGTTCCAAATAAACTGAAGTGAGGGGTGAAAAAGGAATGGTTCAGGAGGTCACAGAGGACACTGCAAGGAGGCAGAAAAACTCAGTAAGAAACTATTCATGAAAAATAGATTATAGGGCCACTAAGTAGTGGAAGCATATGGATTATATTTGAAGAATAAGGATATTGTTTAGTGTCCCTTCAAATTAAAAAGAGAGGTATAAGGTTCATGAAGCTTGGTGTTGCTCAATTCTGCATGCTTCATGGATAAAAGTATGAATACCAGTGCCTATAGCAGGGGTGGGCAAACTTTTTGACTTGAGGGCCGCAATGGGTTCATATATTGGACCCGGGGGCCGGACCAAGAGTAGATGAATGATGTGTATGTGTCATCCATAGTAAGCATAGTAATTCATCCCCCATATAGTAATTCATCCCCCATATAGTAATTCATCTCCCATATTAAGTCCCCAAGTCCCCCCTGTGTCAATTCACTTACCTTTGCTCCGCGCGTTCCTCTCGCCGTGTTCCCGCGCCGTTCCGGTCTTCAGGGCAGACTGTGAGAGGAGCCTAGCTCCCCTCACGCTGCCCCGCCTACACACATTCTGACAGCCGATGTTTGCCACGCTCCGCGGGCCGGATTAAAAGGTCCGCCGGGCCGTATACAGCCCGCGGGCCGTGTTTGCCCATTGCTGGCCTATAGGCTAGATCTACAGTATGTGCATGTGGTAAGCATCCAATATATCAATGTGCCCTGAAGGGGTTGGAACTATGTGCTGGTAAAGTATTAACAGAGAGCCCCTTGAGCAGCAAATTATTTGATTTCTGTAAAATTGTAACCCTGGAGTTTTAGCTATCAGCGCTTATAGTTCTAGTGCCTAACAACAAGGCAACTGTGCATTTGTAGATGTTTCATTGGTGTGTTAGGGTAAAGTGATCATATTTTTATTTGAATTCTAATATAAGAGCATTAACCCTCTAAATATTTATCCTTACGCATAACCCCTAAACTAAATGAATCCTTGCAGATTAACGCTTAACTGAAATCCTTCTACCATGTGTCAAAAACACCTGTGCCATAATGAAGGAACCAAAAATGTAAAAAAGATTGAGTATATGCATGTGTATTCCATCATATATATCAAGAGGGTTACATTTGCACTGTCTAATACAGGCCATAGATGGGAAGAAAACCGGCCGATTTTTCTTTAAAAAAATGAAATTGGTCATTCAAGCGGCTGACGTTACCAGGAACGGTAAAAAAAATCGGCCGATTTTCATCCCGTCTACAGCCGGCAAAAAGTGTCCCTGCAGAGAGCTCCGCTATTTCTTTGACAGTTCTTTGATATTTATAGCGGTTGCAACAATGTATCTATTTGTATCCATTTAGGATACAGATGTTTTTATTCGGAAACAAATAGATACATTGTTGCAACCGCTATAAATGTCAAGGAACTGTCAAAAGAAATAGCGGAGCTCTCTGCAGGGACACTTTTTGCCGGACTGGAATTCTTCCTCCTCCTCCCTCCTCCTTTTTCTTCCTCTTGCAGGTCACTGCTCATGTGCAGATTTTTTTATCGGTAAAAAAGATCGGCCGATTTGCCCATAATTGCTGAGAAAATCTGCCAATCGGCCTTTTTTTTTTTTTTTTTTTTTTTTTTTTTTTTTTTTTTTTTTCCTCCAACTTTACCGATAAAATCTGCCAAAATACCGAAAAACGGCCGAACAATTTTAGCCCACTAACGATCCGAAAATCGGCCGATTTTTATTTTGCGGCCAAAAAATCGGCCGATTTTCGACCCATCTATGGCCTGCATAAGGCCCATTCACACAAGTCCACAAGCTAAAAATGCATTGAGTTGCACTGCATAAAAATGCTACAAATCTGCATGTTTACACTACTCAATCTACCTCAAATCAGAGGTGTGATGTGAACGAGCTCTAAGTGATATTTTATTTTTTTTCTTTAGCTATTAGAAGCTACTTTTAATTGTTTGTTTATATTACAGGTGGAAGACGATCTGTTTGGATGAGTAGATGGTCCATGTGGAAATATTTTAGAGATTATTTCCCTATAAAGGTAGTTAAAGAATATTGTTATTTATTTATTTTTTTTCATAAAATAATTTAGGAGAAGCAACAGAACAAAAATATAAATACAGGAATACAGGAAGTACCAATTGTTACAGGTAGAGATGATGCGAATTATTCAAAAATTCGATTCGGCGAATTCGCGGAATAAATTCGATTTGAGGCGAATATATTCGCTGCGAATTTAACGTGTAAAAAGGGTGTTTCTAGGCTTCAGAGAGCCTTTATATTAGTGCAGAACACTGTACCTTTAATTTAAATGCCCTTGGAGTCTGCTGGGGAAGAGAAATAATACTGTCAGTCAGTATGACATGCAGATGAGTGCCGTCGATCTTAGAATCACCGCACACTTCACAGAGTGTGGAGCCATTTGGGCAGTCATGGGAGGGGCCTAAACCAGAGTGTGGAGCCACAGTGTGGCGGTGGGATAGAGGCAGCAGCAATGGGAGGCCATACAGCACCCTATGACAAAATGGAACCCACCAGCAGCAATGGGTGAGTAATCTGAGACCTGGAACACCCAAGCAGTGTGGCACATGGCAGAGTGTGGCGATGGAGACAGCAGCAATGGGAGGCCGTACAGGGACCCATGACACACACACTCTGGACCTGGCAGCAGCAAGAGGAGGCGGTACAGGGGCCCATGGCAGAGTGGCGAAGCGTAAGCAGCTTAAATTGAAGGCCATACAGAGGCCTATGTTAAAAATAATAACATGTTTGGGGCATGATTCATGGCGTATTTAGTCAGTTGTGTCAGGAACTGGTGGTTTGAAATCCAGACTAATCCACGCCTGATTCATTTTCACAAACGTGAGTCTCTCCACACTTTGGGTGGACAGTCGTGTCCTCCGCGGAGTTACAATACCTCCTGCCGCACTAAACACGCGCTCCGATGCCACGCTACTGGCCGGGGGCATGAAAGCCTTTCAAGGGCAAATTCAGCTAGTTGGGGCCAAAGGTCAAGTTTCGTTGCCCAGTAGTCAAGTGGATTGTCTACCTCGGTTGGCAGGGTGCTGTCCAAGTAGGCCCGAGCCTGTTGTTTGAGGTCCTGCTCCAGGTCCACCTGATGCTGCTGCTGCTGCGGCTGGTTAGTAGTTTCCTCACTGCGCTGGTGAAGAAAGCTACTCATCATCGACTGCAGACTGAGGCAGCTGCTGCTGGTGGAGCTGCCACTGCTCCTACCACCCCACCCCTCCCCTGCTGCCATGGCAGCGGAACGCGAGCGCACAGGGCCCACAGTGTCTGAGGATGGACGTTGGCGCAGAAAGGCAGAGACCAACTGACTACATAGGTGGTTTTTATAGTACGTTATTTTGGCCTCCCTCTCAGCAGGTGTGAAAAAGGCCACCATTTTTGAACGGTAGCGAGGGTCCAACAAGGTGGACAGCCAAAAGTCATCCCTCTGTCTGATGGTTATTATTCGGCTGTCAGCATGCTATGGGCCATTTGTGCCAAGGAATGCGAGGGACTCCCTGCCTCCATCTCCACAGCATACTGCCACGGTGCGTCTGGGTCCTCTGTCTCCTCCTCCTCTACCAGATGCTCCTGCTCCTCCACTCCTGTCCGCTGAGTGGAAAAACCACCCATTTCACTCAATAATTCCTGAGCACCAATGTCCTCCTCTACCTCCTCCTCTTCTTCCTGTCCTGCCCCCACAGGGGTCATGTGGCGTTGAGATCTGTGCGCCACGTCTACCGCACCCTGACCAGCCATTGTTAACAGCATTTGTTCCAGGACGTGCAACAGAGGAATGACGTCGTTCATCCCATAGTCCTGCCGACTCACGAATAGCGTGGCCTCCTCAAAGGGCCTGAGCAAGCGGCAGGTGTCACGCATGAGCTGCCAATGGCTGACATCTAAGTTACACAGGGGAGTACCTTTATCCGCTTGTAACATCAGGAAATCGGTGATGGCCTTTCGCTGTTCGTAAAGGCGGTCTAACATATGTAGGGTTGAATTCCACCTTGTTGCAACGTCGCAGATCAGGCGATGCTGTGGAATTCCGTTCTGCCGCTGCAGCTCAAGGAGGGTGTGCTTTGCGGTGTAGGAATGGCTGAAATGCATGCAAAGTTTACGTGACATTTTAAGGATGTCTTGCAGTGGGATGGTGGATTTTAGGAACCGCTTGACAACCAGATTGAACACGTGAGCCATGCATGGCGCATGGCACAACCTTCCTTGACGCAGAGCAGACACCATGTTCTTTCCGTTGTCGGTCAACATGGTTCTGATTTTCAGTTTGCGCGGACACAGCCATCTGTTGATTTCTCTGTTCATTACACTCAGAAGTTCCTCCCCTGTGTGACTACGTTCGCCAAGGCATACCAGGTGCAGCACAGCGTGACACCGTTGCGCCCTGCACATGTGATATGCCGGTCGGGTAATGGGACTTGGCACGGGGGGGTGGCGGCTGAGGACACGGCGGAAGAAGAGGTGGTAGAGGCGGACATCTTTGCTGGACCAAGGACGTGCAAACGTGGAGGCAAAAGCGGCGTGACCTGTCCAAGTTGCTGGTGCGGCTGTGCCGGCACCACGTTTACCCAGTGGGCCGTAAATGACATGTACTGTCCCTGACCGTAGTTACAGCTCCACACGTCGGCGCTGCCGTGCACTTTGGCAGAGACCGACATGCTCAAAGACTGGCCCACCATCTCTTCTACATGTGAATGCAGGGCTGGTACTGCCTTTTTGGCGAAGAAATGCCGGCTTGGCACTCTCCACCGCGGCTCGGCACAAGCCATAATTTCTCGGAAAGGTGCTGAGTCCACCACTTGGAAAGGGAGGGACTGCAGCACCAGCAACTTGGACAGGAGGACGTTCAGCTTCTGCACCGTCGGGTGCGTGCTCGCAAACTGTTGTCTCTTGAAAACGGATTCCAAGAAAGACTGCTGACGGAATCCGTGAAGAGGAGTAGCAGGAGAAGGAGCATCTGAACGAGCGGAAGATGCCAACGAGCGACAACTCCCCTCAGCAGAGGTGTTGGAGCCTTGACTGGCTGATAGAGGGCGATTGACGTCGGGTGACGGAGCAAGTAACGGAGCGGGTGATGGAGCGGGGGCTGGAGCAGGCAGAACTGCCGTATCTTTATCACGGTTTTCCCAGGCCACCGAATGGCGACGCTGCATATGCTGACGCAACGCTGTAGTCCCAACATGGGCCCCCTGGCCACGCTTGACTTTCTGGCCACATAGTCGACATACGGCTACGTTTACTTCCTCGGGCGGCTTGACGAAAAAATTGCCACACCGCCGAGTAGGAAACTTTGCCCCCGCTACTCCTCACTGGCTGACTGCTACTTCCTCCGTGCACACCGGCACCACTACTGGCCGTGGTGGTAGGCTGCAGTGGAGCTGGTGCTCTACTCCGTGGCCGTTTGGCTCCACTGACACTGCTGCGACCCTGCTGCCTCCTGGGCAACCCACCGACTGTTTTGCTCGCTGGCAAGCTGGCACCCTCTTCTCCTGATGATGCGGAAGCAATAGCCTGATGACAACGAGGCTGCCAAGTGCGATCAGCCTCGTCATCATCAATTAGGGTCTCCGCGTCACTACTAGCCCCCTCGGCTGCGTGTGGGTCAGGAGACAGACCTGTCTCTAGACCGGCTACCGAGCCACTCTCCTCGCCAGTATTTCTTCACCTGGCTGCTGAAGAGGCGGATGTCTCCCCCCGTTCTGACCGCCCTCTGTTAGCTCTTCCTCACTGTACAGTGGGGCTGAGCCCACAGCATGCGATACTTCGCTTGGTGAGGGAACACCAAAGGACAGGGGCAGGTAGAGGACACGTGATTTCAGTGGGCTTGCTCCCGGGCCATGCCAACTAACGGTTGTGTCTGACGTACCCACCGACTGTTGGCTGTAGGTGTCAGAGGTGACCTGGGAAGAGGAAGACGACCGAGTCAACCAATCGATGACGGCAGGGTTGTCGGTGGAGACACGACCGCTGGATGACACCGGGAGCACTGGCCTCTGGCTGCGACTAGTGCTGCCTCGACCCCTTCCTCTGCTGCCACGTCTGCTCGCTCCTGAAACATTGCCTCCTCTGCCACTCCTCTGCGTGTTGTCTGACATACTCTTTTTAATTCAATAGTGGTTGTGAAGCAGTAAATTCTGTGTCCCTAACGATTCTGTGGCCCTAAAGTCTCTGTGGCCCTAACTCTGTCCCTAATACAGACAGGTCTGTCTCTCTTGAATGACCGGAGGCTAATGGAGAATTCTAAGATGGCCGCAATTTATAGCTCCACCATTACACAGTGCTGGCTGGCTGGCTGCTGATTGGCTAATGCGATCACATGTCATGAGTGAATGCATTATGGGTCAGCGCGCCTTGTCTGCGCGCCTTCCCAGAGATCCCCGCTCCGTCGCCACACATGTCGCCGCCATTTTTGGGAAAATTCGATTCGTGCATCCGAAGTTTGCTAATTTTCGGATTCGGCGCGAATCGAATTTTTCCTCATCTTCGAAACGAATTCCACTTCGCCATGTTCGATTCGCTCATCTCTAGTTACAGGCCATAGTGTAATATAAGTCACTTATGATGAGGAGGCTAGGCTTGGGCTATAATGCAATAACTGCAAAGTATTAGTAAACTCTTGACTATGCAGGATAGCAGGTACTCTAACACAATCCTTAAAATAAGTCTGCAGCCAGCCACATTAGAGCTCTTGAGGACGTTTGCACGCAAGAGGGAATAGTTTCTGCAACAAAGAATTGGGTTGTAGAACACTGACTTCCTAGGGGCACTGAGTGGGGAAGTGTCCAGCATGGAGTTAATTATCAGACATATAATATTAGATATTTCTCTGATGTTCAGGGAAAAAGGCGCCCTTAAAGATGAGAATGATTCCAGGTGGACTTCTGCAGCAATCTGATGGTGCTGCCTCTGCAATGCAGCAGCAACTTTTAGATAGGCACAGCAGAAATCAGCAGGTCTGGGTCTTGGGTGGCTCCGATATCAGGCCTCAAGATGATCCACAGCTCCAGCAGACAGTGGCACGGATACAGACTGGAAACTTTCTCTTGTAATGCATACTTTTTCATTTTATCTTCCGCCATGTCTCTCTCTGACTGGACCTTACCTTCTGCACACCAGTGTCTCTATTCCAGACTGGCTTGTGTTTTCCCAGTCCATCTAATTTTATATGACACCTACTGACTCAAGGCATGGTGGATATTGTAGTTTCCTGGGTCTGGATAGTAATGGAGTTCCTTCTGGCTGAAACCACAACTCCCAAAGTGCAATGCTCTTGACTGCAGATGAATCTGAGTCCACAAAGCTCCATCTTGTGGCTGAAAAAAGGGAACTTCTTGCAAGACAAGTTAGCTATGATAATGCATTAGTAAGCCTGCAGATTTCAGTTACAGTGGGTGTTTTTGCATAGTATATGAGCACTAAGAGGGCTGGGTGTCCTGACATGACCCCATGGCTACATTTTTGTTTTCTTTTTGTAGGCTTTTTTCTTTTTTCACCTGTTAATTCTGTAATAAATACACTTCCTCGTCCCTTCATGTCTACGCTTTTTTTTTTTTTTTTTTAACTGTATCCATAGGGGCAGCCAAAGTTGTTACATGGGTCGGACATTGAACATATCTTCCTATGTCCACCTTCATTACATGCTAGATTCATATAGGAATAGTAGTTCACAAAAGCAAGCTAACTTTCTTAAGGTGGGTACAAATGGATCAAAATCCAACTAGTTCAACAGGGACCAGCCAAATTTCGATCTGTGTTTGCCCCTCCCTGTTCTACAGAAATCGATTGTGGCAGATGAGACTTGTAATTTAATCATTCACAGATGTCTGTGAACAAATGATGCAACTGTGCGAGTACAGAAATGACAATAGTGACTTATGGAATTTTTGTTTTGTCTATTTCTGCTCCCAAATTGTGAGAGTTAAGGTGGGTACACACAGATCCAAATTCATCTGATTAAGAAAGGACTGATCTGTGTGTGGCCCTCCTTATTCGACTGAACCAAAGTAGGATCAGTAGATTGATTTCTGTTGAATGGTCACACTGGAAAACTTTCATCAGTCAGTGGCTACAGCCAATTGACTGCAGCCACTGATCAGTATATTCTAAAGCCTAGTACACTTCATCAGAAAATCGGACTTTCCGATTTTTTTTTTTTTTTTTTTCTTTTTTGTGATTTTCCACAAAAGTGCATATCATGATGTAGTCAGAATGGTATTGAGGTGTAAAAAAATGCTCGGCTGACAAAGGCAAACATAACTACAGTATGTACTAGCATAGTAGAAGATGAAGTGTAGGATCTTTCTATGCTTCTGATCAGGCATGGTTTTTTTTTTTTTTCTATTCAATCATTTCCATACGATTACTGTACACATTATATGAAAAACGGACATTGTGTTCACGTATGATAAAACTATTCTAGCTTGCACCCTCAGATTTTATTGTCAGAATCAGCTGTCGAAAGCACTATACTAACGACCAGATAATTGGCTGGTAATTTTTGTATGATTTTCTTGTGTGTACGAGTCATAACAGCACAAAGTCCCCACTGTTAAAATACAATGCTGCAGCAGGGATATTCAATTCACTTGTTTGGAAGGGGAAATCCATTCAAATTTTTTTTCATCACGCCCAACAGGGTATACCCAGTTTTAGTGCTTTCTTTTAAGCTCATGGAAAGTGACAAGGACACTGCATTGTTGGCAAGCTCAACAGGCATTTTCTGTACTTGTTAAAAACTGTTGTAGCTTGAAAAATGAAAACGAATGCAGATACCACATCTAAGGACGAGTAAGCAGCAATACAAAAGATTTTTTCTTTTGGGTTTCCAAATGCTTTAAGCTTAATGACTTGAGCCTATAGTGCTCTAAGTCACTAAATATGCTGCAGTTTGAGTACATTTGATTCCACAGGGAACACAGGTCTTTGTTGGCCTTTTGCTGGAGTTTTCTAACACAAAAGTGTTACTGGGTCTGCTGATGTGTCAACCTAAATTCAGACTTTATAAACTATCCAAACAACCTTTTATTCTTGAGTAAACCCACACAAAATGTGTTGAAAATGAAATGCAAACTGTTTTTTCTTTTTCTCTTTCAGCTCCATAAAACTGTAGAACTAGACCCAAGACACAATTACATCTTTGGATACCATCCTCATGGCATCATGAGCATTGGAGCATTCTGTAACTTTGGCACAGACAGTACTGGATTTTCTCAAGTTTTTCCCAACCTGAAGCCACATCTCACCACATTATCTGGAAATTTTAAGGTGCCTTTATACAGAGATTACCTTCTGGCTGCAGGTAAATCTGTGGGGGTCATAAACATGTTCCGGGTGCACAGGGTGAATGTGGACCTAAGATGGCAGAACGGGTTTGAGCAGTCACAAGTACCCCAAAAAATAGCACTAATAAAATTAATTATTTGCTAGTTGATAATTATAATTGGTTAAAAATGTTCAGGGTAAATGAATATAACATTGAGGTATTATAATATGTTGAAGACCTAGAGAGACCTCTGAGACCAAGATTTCCTATTTATGAGTGGCAGATCCCAATGTTGGGCAAACGGTAGCAAATCTGACTCAAATCTTAGAACATGCAATTTTATTTTATAAATATGCCTCTATACCATTCAACCAGAGTTAACCATTAGCAATTGTTCTTGGCCGTTTTTAGTTTGAACATATAGTACCATATGTATCTGAAAGTATTTTTCTACATCTTTTTCATAACTAAATAACAACTTGTTTTATCAAACATTTTGGTCTACCATATGGCAAACAAATCCTAATATTTTCCTGTAAATTGTATTGTAGGAATGTGCTCAGTGACCCATTCATCCATAGACTACCTCTTGTCCTGCCATGGATCTGGCAATGTTGTGGTAATTGTTGTGGGTGGAGCAGCAGAGGCATTAAACTGTAGCAAGAATAGGCATATATTGACACTAAAGAAACGGAAGGGATTCATAAAGAAGGCCCTAACTAATGGGTAAGTAATCTGCAACATTTGCATTTAGTCATTACATTTTTATAGTCAGCGGGCTTGAAACCATTCATGTTTGGGTGGTCATTGTCTGCGATATGTATCGTGTTAAGGCAGCAAAATATTAGCTGAGCTCTAGGTAGATATAAAAGACACACGTTGATGTAGCTCTGCAATAATGAATACACCATTAAATGTACATTATACATTTTATTTTTTTATTATCATAATGTATATTATACAGGATGTATATTAATTATACAGGATTTCTTGTGCAATACTTTACAAAATAAAGAGAGGCAGTACAGTTACAATACTATTCAATACAAAAGGGTTAGGAGGGCCTTGCTAGTGAGAGCTTACAATTTAAAGGGAAGGGCAAGTGATACACAAGGTAATTATGGGGGATGAGTTGTTCTAGCATATTTTCAGGGATTGCTTAACCACTTGCCCTCCAGAGGATTTACCCCCTTTCCTGACAGGCCATTCTTTGCGATACAGCACTGTGTTACTTTAACTGACAATTGCGCAGTCATACAACGCTGCACCCAAATGAAATTTATGTCCTTTTTTTTCCCCCACAAATACAGCTTTCTTTTGGTGGTATTTGATCACCTGTGCATTTTTAAAAATTTTGCACTATAAACAAAAAAGACTAACAATTTTGAGAAAAAAAACAATATTTTTGAGTTTTTGCTGTTAAACATTTCCAGTAAAAAAAATTTTTTAAATCAAATTTCATCATAAATTTAGACCAAAATGTATTCTGCTACATGTCTTTGCTAAAAAGAATCCCAATACATGTAAATTATTGGTTTACATGAAAGTTACAGCGTTAACAAATGGTGGTAAATATAGTGGAGATATATATATATATATATATATATATATATTTTTTTTTTTTTTTACTAGTAATGGCGGCAATCAGCGACTGCGGCGGGCATTCTGACACTGGGGGGAACTGACTTGGTGTCACGGACACCCCCAGTGACACCAATACAGTGATCAGTGCTAATAAAAAGCACTGACTCTGTACTAATGGCACTGGGCAGGAAGGGGTTAACATGTGGTGCGATCAAAGGGTTAACTGTGTGCTGTTTCACTATGTGGGCTGTGGGTGTGTTTAACTGTAAGCACACTGCTTTGTATGGCTCTGCTATTTGAGCAAGAGCTGACAGGGGAGAGATCTATGTTTATACACTGGTCTCTCCCCCGTCGGTAATACTTGGCGATCACCGGGTGCCGGCGAGGAATCACCGGCTGGGACCCCCGGTGATTAACAGCCAAGGCCACGGATGGCAGCGCGGGTAGGGGGCGCACGCCCCCTACCCGGAACTGCAAAATCACGTATATATACATGATTTTGCACACCCGTGTCACCCTGTAGCAGTATTTCTGCTATAGGGCAGCGCGGAAGCAGTTAAAGGCAGGCAAAGTAGTAGACAGCCAAATAAGTGGGAAGTTCCAGAGGATTGAAGAGGACTGTTTGGTTTATATTTTGACATGAGGTTGGTGATGTAGCTGAGGGATGATTTTGTGGATAGCTTTGTATGTCATTGTTAATATTTTGAATTTTATTTGTTGGGTGATTGGAGGCCAGTGGAGGGACTGACAGAGAAGGGTGGCAGACACTGAACGCTTGGTAAGGTGGATAAGTCCGAGAATGAGCATTCATGATAGACTAAAGAGGGGATAGCCTGTACAGAGGTAGGCCAATGAGAAGGGAGTTAAATAGTCAAGGTGAGACATAACAAGTGAGTGGATTTGTAGATGGGGAAATATTGTAAGCTCAGATTTAAAAAGATTGATTTTTAGGAAGTGGTGTGGCATACATACTGATATGTCCCTTTTAGCAATTTAGTGATTCACAGGAGAAGTGGGTGGTCAACCATGTTGAAAGCAGCAGAAAGGTCAAAGAGTAAGAGTACTGAGTTGTGGCCATTGGATTTAGTAGTTGATAAGTTGTTAGTGAGTTTTAGAAGGGCAGTATCTGTGGAATGTTGTGAGTGTAAGCCAGACTGTAAAGGGCTAAGAAGGTTATCAGTGAGGTAGCAGATCAGATAGTTGTAGAACAGGCATTGTAGGATTTTAGGTAAATGAGAGCAAGGAGATGGGTCTTAGATTTAAAAGGTCCTCACAGGACCCCATTAGCCAAAAAAACCGAAGGGTGATCAGTGCATGTTTTAGAGGAGTGGAAGATGCCAGTAGAGAGGAAGAGGTTGAAGATTTGAGTAACAAAGCATAGAAAAGAACAAGAAGGTGACCAAAGCAGTTGTGTGGGAATAGGGTACAAGGGGCAGGTGACATGATGGGCTTCAGAGAAATTTAGTAACTTCCTCTTTAGTGACAGGGTCAAAGTTAGAAAAAATGAATGTGAAATAAATTGCATCTGTCTTCTTTTTGAAATGGCTGACAATGTCCTTGGCAATGAATGAGCTAGTGTGCAAAGTGGAGAGTTAGAAATGGAAAGATTGGTGATGAAAAGATTTTAATAAGAGTGATGAAAGAGGTATTTTTTGTAAGCATGGAGGAAGGAATTATATTTTAGCAGGGCAGCTTTATACAGAGCAAAATCATGCAGGGGCCTAGTCTTTACGCTACACTTGCTCAGGAGTGCAGCTATATGGTTTGAGAGTTCTGATGTCATCTGTTTTCCAGGGTTGAAGTGGTTGAGGCATAATTCTACGTTTTGGGTAGCAAGTGCGTCCAAGGAGGAAGAGTAAGCTTTTGTAGACCAAAGTGGCCAGGTTACGGCAGGACTAGGGTAAGATATTGCCATACAGGTTGTAATTGGCGGAATAGAGAAGAGAAGAGTTGAAGTGGCAAAGGTTTCTACAGGTAACTGCTTGCTGGTGGAATGGATAGGAAGTTAACAATAGGGTAAGCATGGAACTGATAAGGTTCTGATCAGAGTGAAGAAGTGGTGCAATTAAGAGGTTGCAGGGAGTGCAGAGGCAAGACAAAATGAGAGTGAGTAGGAGTGTGTGTGTCCAGTGTGTTAGGTCAAAAGTTGAGGTTAGGTCAAGAAGTCACCAAGAATGATAGTGGCTATTTCAGAGGGGGAAAGTAGGGTAGATAGGCAGAGAAGCCCTCAAGGAAGCGTGATGCTAGCCCAGGAAACCATTAAGCAAAAACAACCCTAAGAGAGACTGCGGGAAAAAGACAAATACTATGAGCTTCAAAAGAGGAGAGTGATAGAGAATGAGGTGTAGAAGGAACTTGAAAGGTGCACTCTGGGCCTAAAAGGATTCCAGAGCCACCTCATTTTCATCCTCTGGGTGAGTCCATTAGAGGCCATTGTGAAAGAAGACAGCTGGAGGGGCAAATTTAGATTCCTGAATAAAGTAACAGCAAGTGAAGGGTGCTGGATGTGGAGGTGAAGTTTGGATAGAAGAGAGCCAGGGTTGAGTGAACTATACCCAGAAATAGGATGGGGGAAGTAAGTTGGAAGTGGGGTTTGTCTGAGTGCGCATTTCCAGTGTTCTGGAGGTTATCGTAGCACGTGGGTTGAGAAATTAAAATGTATTTTCAGTGTAATATGCCAATCAGTTTATGTGCTGAAAAAAAGCTTGCTGATGGGAAGGGAAATCAGAGTGAGAAAGAAATGAGCTCATCACTGTGCTGCTTCTCCTGTAACTGTCTAGGAAAAGATTGGGGTGGGTTCTTGTTATTTTTGGCTGGAGTTCTGCTTTTAAAAATTGCAATTTCTAGCTCACAAAAATGGTAGTTTCAGGCAGAGAAAAATAAGAGTGATATGTCAAATATGGATGGGAGGTGAATGTCAATTTTTATACAAAGAACAAATGGCTTAATCAATTAAAAAATCTTTTTTTATTGTAAGCAAGCATAAAATGCACGGTCGATCTGCGGTCAGTTAATATTGGGAGACTGGGGACAAACTGAATCTTTTGTCATACTGCACAAATAATGTATGTCTTTTTCTAGCATTAGGTTGCTGATAAGTGTCTCAGCTCTTGTGAGCAGTGAGCATAGAATAGTTAGTTAAAGCCATTTTTGGGGGGTTTGAAGCAAAGCATTTGCACACGAAGTGGGGACCTGGTTAGGACACAAAGAACAAAATGAACCAGGCAGGGTTTTCAACCCACAAGTGAAAAACTTAAAGTAGTCCTATTTAATAAATAAGTGCAAAGTGCAATAACCTATATTAATCCATCAGAAATAATCTCTTAACTGATCAGGCTGTAATAAGCTAATGGTGACCATAGACAGACAGACAGAAGTCCAGTTATTGCAGGTAATATTTCAAATTGGGAGCATTGCTTGCTATTATTGTAACACACTACAATGCTTTACAGTGCCTTTTTGGTTCCTGTGTATTCCTTTGGGGAGAATGAGGTTCTTCGGCAATATCACTTTGAGCCTGGCAGCTGGAAAAAGAGCCTCCAGGAATTATTCCAGCAATGGATTGGTTTCGCTCCCTGTGTTTTCTTTGGGCGAGGAATCTTTTCCAGTTCATCGAGAGGAATAATGCCACTACGAAGAGCCATTAACACCGTCGGTCAGTGCTGCTTAACATATGAATTTCATGGCTGGAGACTTATCTTACTTTTTATATTTCACTTATTTTAAACCAGGTGTTGCGTGCTTTGCACAAAACATTGTACAGCTACAGTAAATGGTGCTAATGACTTAAAAGATACTTGAGTTGGTTTACCCAAAACTGTTTCAGTCCTTAGCAGATGGTTTACAATTAAACCAACTGATTTATTGTGTTTCTAAAGAATATCAGATCTCTTGTGTTTCTAAAGAATATCAGTTGTGTGATCTCTATGCCTGAGTTACCAGGTCTCAACAACTGACTATTATGAGGAAAAGGTTAATGTTTGTTATGGAGAATGCAAGAGATGGAGTAGAAATGTTCCAAATGAGTGATAACACCAATAAATGCCAGACAAAGGTAGATGGTTCCTGTCACTTGGTTTCTCGGGTATTATAGAATGCTAGCAGGGGTTAATGTGTATTATGGAAAATGCAAGATGGGGTAGAAATATTCCAAATGAGCGATAAGACCACAAACATGCCAAGCAATGGTAAATAGCTCCTGCCACTTGGTTTCTCAAGTATTATAGAATGCTAGCAGGTGACCGCACCTGTAACGGCAATATCAATTTTTGGTCAATTACCTTTTCAGGTGTATTCGTTATGGCCTGCATCAGCTGGCATCCTTTTTTTGCCAACAGTTTGAGACACTCCACTTGAAATCATTCAACAATTCACAGTTCTTTGGGAATGAAAAGACGCTGAAACAGGTTAAATCTAGGCCAACTGAACCTGCAAAGACTTACGTAGGCAGAGAAGTAGTTCTGAAGCAAAGAAAGAAGCCATTTTGCCACTAGCCCTTAAAGTGTCTATGGAAAAACTGCTGAGAGTTATACAGTGCAGTAATACATCCCTGCAGCAGCTTCCCTTCCCCCTGCTAAACCCAAATGCCAAGCCATTTTGACAGAGCAACGCTCCAACACTGCCTATTAGTGTCAAAGCTTGCCTGTTCCCTGCAGACCAATATTACGATAGACTTCCTCACTGGCCAAAGAGCTATGTTAGAAGTGGTAGTTTCTAACATGGTGGTAGATAAGCTTCAATAACTCAAGAGCATCCAAGCTTAACCTAAACAGAACAGTCTGGCATTCATGCAGAGGAAGGTGATTGAAAGGTACTGCAGGTATGTGCAGGAACTTCTAGGTGATGTGTTATACTTTTTTATTTTTTTTTTTTTTTTTTTTTTTTTTTTTGTGATACAGGCAGCTTAAAGAGAACTGTCCCTTTTAATGTGCCAGTTGGCATTGTCTTGCAAAGGATACAATCCCTCCCCAATGATGCTTACCTTGCCAGCAATCCTTTGCCAATCCTTCTTTCGTCTTAGCCTGCACTAAAATTCCCAGTGTGGACTGGCATTGGACACTAAGGCAATCTGTGATGTCACTTCCTCTGTCATGTAACAATGCTCGGGCCTAGCAATTGCCACATGAGAGTAAGTCGCATGCGCCCTCATGGAATCATTGTGTATTGCTGCTGGCTGCCATGGAGGAAGAAAAGGTGGAGCACTGACAAGACAGTGGGTTCCTTTGCAAGGAGGCTGTCACCGTGCCCTGAATTAGTCTGCAAGTTTGCCAGTGCATGAGCAACTGCAGACCAGGGGCGGACTGACAACTCATGGGGCCCCCGGGCAATAGGGGATCATGGGGCCCCTGTTTCCTTGCCCAAACACAAAAAAGCCTATGAAAAAGGTACCAGGGGCATCTCAAGGGGCCCCCTACTGACCCTGGGTCCTCGGGCAGTGCCCGAGTTTCCAAATGGTCAGTCCACCCCTGCTGCAGACATTTAATTTTAATTTTTGGGTGCACATACACATTTAATAGATTATTTGGACATCAAAACGCCTATTGTTGTCACATGTACACTGTGTTTGTTGTCATTATTACTCCATACACGTGACTTGTAAACTGAGCCTGGGTGTATCACAAGGTGTGTCTCTTAAGTAAAACCTCACTAATTGCTGACATGTCTGCTGGTTAAATTGACTGTCCTAAGCTGAACTTTTAATTTCCTTTCAGTTGGTAAACCTATCCCTGTGCCTAGGATGAAGAATCCTTCTGAGCAGCAAGTGGATGCGTATCATACTCTTTATATAGACTCTCTGCAGCAGCTTTTTAATGCACACAAAGAACGCTTTGGTCTACAGCAGACAGACTCTCTGTTGCTAGTATGAAAATGATGTGTGACAGAACTACTGGACCAAATAAAAAATGCAACTTGATGGCATCAGACCAACACATAGACAGAACAGAATCTAATCGATTGAGATGCCTCAATTGGACTCCGTAATACAAATGATAACATTTTGACAATATCTCAAGTCTTCCCACTGAGAGACCCCGGAATTTCAGAGTCCCAAATCAACTGCCAACTTATATGGGCTTATGTACTAAAGCAGTGGAAAGAGCCACGATGTCAGGCATTAATAACTAATAGATTTCATTTTATTTTGGTAAGATCAATGAAATATGAAATTCTAATTGGTTGTTCTACATGGGTTACTGCATTTTGCCTTACTGAACAAGCTTGACTGCGTGTTCTGTAAGCAGAAGTTAAGTTGAATGTTTACAATAAAGTATCGGTGTAATCAATACAAACTTAACAAAAACTTGTCTGTGGTTTTTTTTTTTTTTTTTTTTTCTGAACCTTACTTAAGCAGAGCTAAATCCACAGATTAAACTTTAAAGAAGGTTCAAGTTAGAAAAGGATGTAGGTGTTGATGTATGGGTCCCCTGATTCTGGGTGACAACCCTTCCAGCAATGCCACATCCTCTGATACACCAAGGAAAAAAACGCAACAGCAAAATAAAACACATTTGTACAATATAACAAGACCATGTTGGATCAAGTATTGCTGGACCCAATCCCCTCCAAGTACCTGAATCGTGTATATGGGGGGGGTCCTAACTAAAGGCAATCCTAATGGCTGAAAGGTCCTAGAGTCTATCCAAAACTCCTCTCACTGGCCAGTGTGGTATGTACTAAACATAGGAGTCCTGTGTTGGAGCGCTCAAGTAAATTTGTGGTCCCACGGTAATGGGTGTAAGTCCCCAAACTAAGTACTAAGTTAGGGTGGTGCTGTCCCTTTTTAGAGGAGGGTGATGAGGTTGTGGCCAGTCATCGCTATGCAGTCTGTTGTGAAGCCTCCTCTTCGGTGTCCAAAACCCATGGTGTTGGTGTCAACTCTGGATGTTCCAGCAACGATCTTTCACAAAACCATTGATGCCCCTCTCCTCCAGCTCACTGGGTCCTTCCAATGACAGTGGCCTCTAGGCACAGTACCACTTTGACGCAGAGGCGAATTCTGATGACAAGCAGTGTGTCTGACTCATGCAGCATGTGAGATTCCTCCAGTCCAGGCTTCATCTTCTGTTTTCATTTTTTTCAGCACACCATCCCTTCTGAGGCTTGTAGTCCTATACAGTACTCTTCTTAATAGAGGCTCTTTTCTAGGGACTACACCCCCATAGATCCAGGCAGCTCCCAGCAGTCTTTTATAGTTCCCTGGGCAGGATCTTCCTTTCCCAGGCTACACTGCAGGCAATCAGTGTCCCTGTATCCTGAATGGTTGGAGTGCTCCCCTCCAGCCATGGCTACAAGAGCAGTCTGTCATAGTCTTTGGTTGGCTCTGTCTCCCCTCCCTGTGGTGACACTCTGCACATCCATGGCCAGGGAGGGAAACAGGATAACTGCTGCAGCCAGGATGGTTTTATGTGGGTGCTGTCTAAACTGTTACAGCCCACTTTGGGCGTCTGTGGCTGGGGAGCACTGCAGACCTAGGCTACAAAAGTATACTGTATGTGAACATTTATCATGTGCTTTGGCCCAATTAATGATTGCTGTAATCTTTTTTTTACCCCTGTTGTTGTTCCACTGGTTGTGATTATAGAAAAGATGGAAAAGATTTACTATAGGTAATATGAGTGGCCATTTCTTCTTTCTGTGCAAGCTCTTAAAATAGAATTATGGCTGTCCAGTAAAAAAAAAAAAAAAAAAAAAAAACATGCTTCAGCATTTTAGGTAGTATTAACCCTTAGTGTTTTTTAGTTCAACACACTGAGCACAATGAAATAAACATTCCTCAATAGACTATTTATTCAAATCTTTACCCCTGTATTTGCAATTTACAATATTCAATGCTGATGGCTCATCCTTTGTCAGTGCTGCTGACTTCTGAATGAACTTCTGGTCATCCCAGGAGATAAGGGAAAATGTCACCAGCACACCGAGAATCACCAATATGGGTCCAAAATTTTTAATAAACATGATGAAGGGGTCCTGCGAGACTCCAAAACTTTGCCTTGCTGTAACGAAGTGATCGTTGATTAAAACTTTTTAACCCATATTGGTGATCCTCGGTGTGCTGGTGACATTTTCCCTTGCTGATTCTGTTCAATTCCAGCCAACTGTCCCTGCAGCACCCACTTATACACACAGCTATTTTTAATGCAGGAATGCAAAACTCTAGTCCCGGCATGCAAGGGTGTCTCCACAGGATGCTGCAAGAGAAAGGAGTCACTGTTCAAGAGGAGACCAGGGGTAGTGGTCATGGCAGCATAAACTGGAACATAGCCAAGGGTTAAAAGATAAAGAAGCTGTATACTCAGTAAGTGATTAAACTATCTGCTCTAAGTACTTAAAAACTGAGGGTTTAATGACATTTTAGGTATACGTGCATCTGCACTTAGTTTTCCCTTCGTTTCCCTACAAAATCCAACAAATACCTGTTGATCCAGCCAGTGAAGTTTAAAGAGGAATTTCAGTTGTTTTCGTGTTTATTAAATGTCAGCAGCTACAAAAACTGTAGCTGCTGACTTTTAATAAACACACACTTACCTGTCCCAGGGTCCAGCGATGTACTCACCTGGGCAGCTACTTCTCTCCTTCTGTCCTCCACGGCACCCGCATCTTTACTGCGGGCACCAGGCTGTGACAGTTTGCAGCTTCACAGCCTGGTGTCCACTGCGCATGCGCGAGTCACGCCGCGCTTCCTGATTGGTCCAACAGTCTCCTGGGACCTGTGAAAGTTCCCAGGAGACTGCGGGAGCAAGGAGGGGGCTGAACTTCTGGCTCACGTTACTGTGGTGAACTGAGCCGGAAGTGGGAGCGAGTAACTGTCAAAACTAGGTGCCTGCTCCCACCCAAAAGGTGCCAAATATGGCAGTGGAGGGGGGGAAGAGGCAAATAAGTGGAGCTTCTGCTTTTGAGTGGAACTCCGCTTTAACTAATGCAGTTTCCTGTAGTAGTGTGGCAACGATGCTGCATTGCTCCTGAATTCACAGCAGAGTTTCCAATCTCATGAGATGTTCGAGGGGATGTGGTTATCATTGTCATGGCTGATTCTGGGAAGCTTATGATTTACTTTATGAAGCCTATGCATCACACAGTAACTGGATTTGAGAATTGTTGAGACTGTTCTATAGGAGCCTTTATTTGCTCTTTAAGGCTCTATGAACATGGGGGTGTCTAGCTGCTATGTGTCCCTCCCAGCATTTTAGTGAGCTGGGGAGTGACTGGTGCAAAGATGAGCCCCCCCCCCCCTGCAGGCAACCTGACAAAGTCTATGAAAAAGCTGCAGCTGGGCAGGGCTGAATGATGTATTGAGTAGTAATCTCTTTTAGGGCCCTTTGGGTTCAGGGATGAATTGTTGGATAATATAAAATTTTCTGTTTAATAAGTAATAAAAAACACAAATCAATAGGAACCATTTGGATAGGATTTGTAAATAACAGTAAAAAAAAATTGACAAATAATCCATTAAGATTGGGTGACTACTGATAATGCAAGCTAAACAAAAATTCTCTGGTTTGATTTCAGTACACAATCCAAGCCAGGTGAGAGTTTGCAAGTATAATATTTAATGAGAAACATCAGTCCCCTTTCTTTGGCTACCCCCTCTATTTCTATTATTATGGAGCATGCACAGATGTGCTAACCCACTCTGCCTGGCCTTTACATTTTCAGTTCATGCGCAAACATGGCTAAGTTTTAAAACTTCCGTAACTGTTGTCTATGCATACGCACTGGGAAAGCCGCATGTGCACAGATATACAAAAAAACCAAGCGTGCACAGATGTTGTCACAGGGCTCAGCTGGGGCCTGTATATATTTATCAATGAACCTGAGAAAACAGTGCTTGCCAGCTTTATTAACAAAGAAGGTATGATGGCGGTTGCTGGTGGCTGTGGTTGGGAAGGAAGACCAAGGCAATATGAGTAACACCCTAGTTGTTATTATACCCAGGGTACATAACTGGTTAATATATAGAAATAATAACAATTCATATGCCTTTCCTGTTTCACAGCCTTGGCTCCTTTGCAGTAAATCCATGGTGACTTGAAAGAAATGAAGACCTATAGCCAGGGGCGGACTGACCATTTGGAAACTCGGGCACTGCCCGAGGGCCCGGGATCAGTAGGCGGCCCCATGAGATGCCCCTGGTACCTTTTTTCATAGGCTTTTTTTGAGTTTGGGCAAGGACACAGGGGCCCCATGATCACATATTGCCCAGGGGCCCCATGAGTTGTCAGTCCGCCCCTGCCTATGTGTTGGATTTGGTAAAATGCCTATCTGGTTTCCTGTTGAATATATACATGTTATACATATTTACTTTTATACTTTTTCATATTTCTAAATATATGTGCTGTGCATATATCTTGTCTGCTGGACTTTACAGTCCTCCTTAACGCAAAAAAAAAAAATGTTTGTTCAGCGATGTTCTCAACCCCTCCCGTCGAGCTGTGAAGATCTTGTACCTAGGCCTTGAATATGTGGAGGGAGTGAAGAGATAACGAGCACAAGCAAGCTTCAAGTTCCTGTCTTCTTTTTATATTTCAGCCAACCAAAATGTGCTTTTTAGACTATGATCATATTTACATAATAATGATGTATACTCTATTGATCTCTATGTATAAAAGGTTAAGCACTGCCCTGCAATAAACAGAGATGAGGATGTGATTATACTGGACAGTTGTCAGTGTGATCCTTTTCCGGCGTGCATGTGCAATTCATTTCTCAAAATTAGGAGCAGCAACAGATATCCAACTCTGAACCCGATTGTGGTTCTCACGACCATTATACCTATACCACACTGTTTAGCTACTATATCTTTACAGAAGTATGAGTCAACATTCAAACATATTTTACAAAGTCAGGAAAGTCTTTTGGTTGATTTCCATGACCCATGAAAGTCAACTATATGATTACAGGACATGAATTATTCATGAAGATGGATAATCCAGCCATGCCTTCTTGGCATTAAAGATCCTTTTATAAGTTATTCAAGGTCACTGACTTTATAATTGCTTTGGTTTTGTAATCTTTTACAGTGATACCAAAATTTTGTATGCAGGTGAATGGACGCAATGAAAATACAAACCTTTCACAGCAGATGCTGGTTCTAGCAGTTAACCTGTCTGAAAAGGGTCTTATCTGGTGAATGTAATTTTTTGTCCATTCTCACCATGGCATATTTTAAGACACGCTCCTCTACACTCCTTAAAACAGTTTACTTTATCAGACACTTCACTGGATGCTTTCCATGACCTCTTGAAACAAAGCACATGGGCATAGCATGCTATTAAAAGCCAGGAAAAAATACATTTGGCTATGTATAGGAACCAAAAACTGCTGCTGTCATCAGCAGTGTGATCAAGTTTACAATGAACGAGCCAAAGATAACAAGTGCATTTTTCCATTTATTCTGCATTTACCCCCCTTTTGACTAATTGGTAAACTAGGAACATCTGTCATACATGGATAACCTTTATGAAGATCAATTGTACAAATTGTTATAACTCTAATGTAAAGAGACTAGTAAAGTCTCACATGTACTGTACAGTACACATGGTTTTAAGGACTTGTGTAGATATGCTTTGTTTTCAAATGTTACATTTTAAATTTGAATGCATAGCTACTCAAATGCCAGCGTTTGGATCTAGGGGCTGCAATTGATCTGCTTTTACCTGTGAAGGACCTGATGAAATGCAAAGCAGCTCAGATGCAACCTCCTAGAAGTTGCAATGCAAAATTAAAAGCAAGTAAATGTGATTTAAAAATGACTGGCTTACATTTGAAGCACTGTTTAAATGCAACTCCATGCAGAAAAATAGAGTTTGTCTACATGAGCCCTAAGGCTGCATGCACACGGGGCGTTTTGATAACGCTGGTTACGTTAGCTGTGTAAAGTCATGTTAAAAAACTTGAGTTTTTCAGCTTTTTTTTTAGCATGTTTTCATTAGCGTTTAGCGGCATCTTGCCGCGATTAGCTGCGTTTTCCCGTGTTTTTCGCAATTGCGTTTTTAGCTGTTTTTTTTTACCAAAAAAATAATTTTTTTGGCAAAAAAAGTCCACAAACCCCAGTTTGCGGCATTTTACCGCGTTTTTCAGCATTACAGCCTTTTTACAGCTAAAAACTCCTCTAGAAGCCCACTAGTCCTGGGTTTTTTGTTCAGCCAAAAAATGTTGATTACAGTCTATGTGTGCACGGACACATAGGATAACATGCTGGGGGGGGTTCACTGGCTGTAGAAAAAAAAACGTCAAAAGCCAAAAACAGTATCTGTAAAAACGTCAAGTATGCATGAGGGCTAGGTGAAGGAGGTCAAGTGTGCTCAGCAGATGTTCTAAACTTCTTGCAGAGTGCTTTATAATGTCCTGACCAAATAGTATGACTAAAAAGTGCTCAATGAAGCTTCTTTTGGCTGTGATGCATTAAAACAAATGTGGTCCATAGCACCTGACCACAATTCACAGGCAGGTATATTATTGTGATTGCTCAATTTGATGAACCTTTTCAATAGGTGACACACTTCCAATTATAGCCCAGACATCTGATGCCGGATGCGGTCCAGTATACAAAGCACATACAGTACCTGAAATCTATTGCTATGCTCCTAGGTATATACAAAACTGATTGAACAGTCTGGTGAAATTAAACTGTTTGCATCAAACTCCAACTCAAATATCCTAAACAGCAGATATTTAATGAAAAATGCTTTTGAAAAAAGTCTTTTAAAATGACACAGGCAATCTGATCAGGGCCATCTGTCAATTTTTACATGGATGGTTCATGTATCTCTATGGACCAGTGGGTATAAACAGACTTGTTCAGACTTTATAGCCACCTACCTCCAATCCAATCCACTAAAAAAAACAGAAGAGGATCCGTCTCCCTCTGTCTAGGTGGATTGGAGGTAATTGGGTGTAAACGGACAACAGGTCTGTTTACTCCCCGGCCTCCCAAAGGGCAGAGCGGGCTGTATCTGTGTCTGCTCTGCATAGACTGAGCACACACGGACCTGTCATTCGCCCGCTCTACTCAGCAGGTAATAAGCAGACAGAAACCCTTCTGAACAAACCGGATTCCACCCTGCATGAAATGGGCCTTAAGCTTAAAGGGGACCTCTCCCACTCCACTCTATAACTTGGCAATAATGGGGAAAATAAACAAATTATGCTTACCTATGTCTTTGTGACATTGTCTTCATATTTACCTATTTTCATCCTGCCTCTGTGATGCTTGGGTTCCCCGCATAGATGTGGGCAAGGCTAAGCGTGGTCTCCTAATTGCAAGACAGCAGTGCAGGTGTAAATAGGCATGTGGACCATAGAGTTAACTGGAGGGAAGTTATTGTGCAGGTGTACACGGGTGTATGTTCATCTCTAAGAGTGGAGGCCTTAAGGTTGAGTATGCACCCACAGCAGCCTCAGTCTTGTCCCACTGTGATCCTACTACAGGTGCCTAGCATAGCTCAGAAGAACCCACCCTGGAGTACCCACCCCAGAGTAGGCCTCTTATGTTACCCATGCTTGATGCCCAACATGGAGGGGAACATGGAGTAAGTGCCACCACTCAACTACCCCCCATACATGCATGCTAGTGTGAATTTTAGTGAATGGGGGGGGGGGGGGGTAATCAACTTTAAGATGACGCTGATCTAGCCTAAAACATTTGTAAAATAACAACAGTGTCGATGTGTAGATATCATGGGAGCTCTGTGAATCTGAGGTCCAAACCTATTTGAAGCCTTGAGTTATGTCTACATTAAGACAATAAAGCTGCTATCAAGTGCCAGAGCCTTCTCTACCATCTTTATGAAAAAATATGGGCAAAATCAAAAATGAAATATATGCTGTAGTCTGTCATTAACACAGCCTGCCACTCCCTCCTTTAACAGCTTTATTTCTTTTTGATCCTGCCAGTAAATCTGTTATTTTTCTTGTTAAAGTTTTTTTTTAGTTTAACAAGTAACAAAACCTGAAACAAATACAAAGCAGACTGTCCAGGTAGGTCTAGTGTACAACGGTTACAAAACTGAATGCAGTCCTGGGTTGCAAATGGAACATCGTACATCTTTGCTGTTGGATCAACAGGATATCAACAGTAAAATGAAGAATATGTGGATAGTGGCCTCGAGGGCCAGTCATAATTCTGTTATTTTTCAATCTCCATCTGTTTCTTTTGCAGTGAAATCAGACAGCAACATTTTCACCCAAAAGACGGGTGTAGCGGTACATGGACTTTAAAGTGAAACATAGCCCCGAACAGAATAACTTGACAGCAGGAAGGATTTTTATTGCAGAAGAGACATATTAGGGATGATTTACTAAGGCAAATAGGCTGCTAATTTTGCCCAGGGAATTTAACCCAGAGCTCAGTGAACATGGTGAAATTCCAGTTTGTACAGAATTCCAATCACATGAAAGGGAAAAAAACAGCATATTTGCTTTCACGTGATTAGATGGTGAAATTTAGCAGCTTCACCTAATTCACTAAGTTTTGGGAAAAGTTCCGTTGCAAAGGGCAACTTCCTTTGCAAAATGAACAGTATATTTGCCTTTCGAGCGTCAACCTCACTATGTCTCTTCTGAAATAAAGGCTTCTTACCTTCCTTGCAAGATACTTTAGGATGTAAAGTTAGCTGTGCATGCCTCAACACCAAGATGAATGAATTCCTGTGCATTACTTACATCATTCAATCAAGATGGTCAAAGCCCCTAACCCTGAAGAAGCCAGGGAAATGATGTCAGCACCGGCGGGGGAGTCCAAAGAGGTTTAGTTTTGCTTTAAGTAAGCTTCGAACAAACTAAGCCTAACTCCAGCTAACGCATTTTAAGTAGTTAAAGTAACAGGTATTTTGCATGTTAAAAAAAAGGCTTAAAGGCTAAGTTAACCTTTAACCCCTTCACACCGGCACCCCCGGCCCTTTAAGGGCTTTCTGATGCCGGGAGGCGGGACGGGGTTTAGGGTCATGTGACCACCATGATTGGCTGTCACGGCAGTCAATTGATTGCAAAAGTTCCAAATGCAAGGAGAGATCGGGACCTTTCCGTGGGACACTGCCACATGTGCTGGGAGTGTGCAGGGTGTGTGCTTTCAGCACATGTTTGTTTACAAATGGTACGCAAATATGCGGCCGCTTGGCATCAAGGCCCAGCCACCTAGAGGCCGCATATTTGCGTACTGTCGGCGTGAAGAGGTTAAGGAAAAAATAATAAATGAACATATTTTTGAAGAAAAAAAATGTCAATTTATAATTT